AAATCTAGCAACTTAATCTTTACAAATTCAAACCAGTATATTATTACTTCTTGGTGAATAAATAAATATGATACTGGAGTAATTTTGAAACAATTCAGTACATTTTCAGGCTTTGATTTGCCATTTTTGGGGGACCTAAACCTTAAAGTTATCCATAAGCCACTCTATAGTGAACTAAGTACTCTGACAGGATACAGACACTGTACTGAACTCCAGAAGTTTTACTAGCTATGTAGAATGAAATACATCCTATTGTACCAATAAACTAATGTGCAGTAAAACCTGGCAGGCTTTTTTTGTTTTGTTTTGGTTTGGTTTGGTTTTTGTCAGTCTAAGTTAGAGGCAGTGTAGAGCTTGCCTTCTCCCCTGTACACAGTTACCTTTTGTCTTTAATTAGTTACTTCAAATTTGGAGTTCCATGATACATATGCCTAAAAATTATGACAAATCTTTACATTCACTATCTTTTTCTTGTCTTCATAATTCAGTTTGTATCTTTTTGTTTGTGAACTAATAGTAAGACATAAGAATATTCATAGGTGATCTAAGAAGAAATGTATACAAACAAAAAAAATAAAAATAAATGTATTGATAAAAAAAAAATTCTTTATACCAACCTAGGGATCCAAATGAGTCTCCATATTTTCCCTACCTGAAGCTAGCTTCCCTAGAAGTTTCACAAAGAGAAACTAGGCTGATTGGTATGGAGAAAAGATTCAGTGTAAAAATTGCACAGTAAGATATCTGCAAAGGGAAAACAAAGCCTAAATTAGAATGAGGAAACAAACATAAGAACAAAGATTAATGGTTGGAGCAGACTATAAACCCACATTTTGAGTCCATAGGATAGTGCATTGAGATTTCCAGATATTGGGCTCAAAGCTTTCTATGTGAGGTTGGTAGTATTGCATCAATGGTTATTTTCTGGAGTAGAACATGGAAGATGTAGGTGTTGTGGTAAACTTTCTGAGTGGCCCAAACTGTTGAAGTGATAAATACTTTGACATTTATATTAAGTCATCAAGCTTTTGCTTGAAAGACTCTGGGTAAAGGGCAGTTTTATTATCAGTGATGCCACGTCAGGAGGGTGGGAGAAAAATTGAAAATGGTAATTACAGATATGCCCTACATAATGATGTTTAGGTCAACCATGGACCTCATATATGACAGTGGTCCTGTAGATTATAATGGAGCTGAAAAATACCTATTGTCTAGTGTTGTCGTGTTGGCATTGTATTACAATTGCCTACAGTGTTAAGTATAATAGCATGATGTACAGGTTGTAACTTAGGAGCAATAGGCTGTACAATATAGACGAGACATGTAGTAGGCTATAACATCTAGGTTTGTGTAAGTACACTGTGATGTTCACAAAACAATGAATTCCCTGATGCACTTCTCAGAATGTATGTCCATTATTAAGTGAAGCATGACTATATTGACAAAATACACAAGATGACAGGACCTACTTTACAAAGTGGTGAAAGTAGCTCAAAGGCAGTAAACATGACTAGAATCTATAAGGATGGGTTGTAGTTTTCCATTGACATATAAAATTTTTCTCTATCATCAACATCGTTTTGCATTAAACATAATTTAAGTAAGATTATTCTTGTTTGAAAAATGAATCCAGTTTCGTCTGATTTGGCATGATTATAACCTAAGTGGAGCAAGAATAATCGGCCATATAGGTCTTTATAAGTTTGCTTTTCTGGAACTTTTCACGAGGAATCTCAGATTGGACTTTTAAAAGCCTACTTAACGCTCAGAAGCCACACCAAGAACTCACCACCCAACTTCACCTACATTACCTGTAGATTTTAGTGAATCCCTCTCTTCCCAAGGTCTACAGAATATCCTAAGTTTCCTGGGCCTTCTATGAAGTGACCTTCATAATTTAACTAGAAGGCTTGACACCCTTTAACCTAGATATCAGGCCAGTTTTTTCAAGAGGGTGTTGTAAGCATTGGCTTCATAAAGTCAACCTTAGTTTCTCAAAACTGATCATATCTGGGGCCAACCCCATGGCGCACTTGGGAGAGTGTGGCGCTGGGAGCGCAGCAGTGCTCCCGCCGTGGGTTCGGATCCTATATAGGGATGGCCGGTGCGCTCACTGGCTGAGCACAGTGGTGCGGCCAGTCACGGAAAAAAAAAAAAAAAAAAAAAAAAAAACTGATCATATCTGATTCTATGCTCATTATTCTCAAATGTGACATTCCAATCAAAGCCTTGGTTATGTAATCAGTGTTTCCAATTACATCCTTTTACAAGGAGGAACAGATTTTTATTAAACTTATGCAAATAACTGCATTTCCATGGTAAGAATTTTCAATAATAGTTTCCAAATTCTGGAGGGATCAGACTGGGAGAAAAGGAAAATTGTTTCATTTATGTTTACAAAGTATAATCTATTAAATTGCTAGGAATTATAGATAGCTTGAGAAAAGATAAAAGTGTTTCTTATATCCAGAAAAAGAACATAAAAGAACCAGCAATGTTCCAAACAAAGACCATAAAAAGTTATAATTATCCTTTAAATCAGTGTACTCTGGTCCAAATAATTAATTCTTGTTCTGCTTAATTTTACAAGGCATTTTACGAACTCCTCAGCTTCTCTACTAGAGTTCTGGAAATTCTTACTTAGTCCATGGTATAATCTTAAAATTCTTTAAACAAAGACATCAGACGCCTATAACGCAGGGCACCCCTTGTCCAAAGCTTCACCCTCTCCCACTTGTCCCCCAGTTGTCATATATGCTACTCTGAGCTCAATCTAAAAAACTTTGGAGAAATGCTCTCTTTGGAACTGAATGTTGCAAACAGAGAGTTAGGTGTAAACGATGTGATGTAAGCTCACTAACATTTCTAGGTAAGTCCTTCATGAAGTAGGTGGTGAGTAAGAACTGCGAAAATGATTGTTTCACCCAGCACTGATGGTCACATAGCTATTAAGGAATCAGAACCTTTGAGGGGAGGGGAAAGGAAGTTTATGGCATGTATGCTTGGTGAATAGGACCTATATTTTGCTATAGAATACTCTGCAGACCACAGTGCTTCATAGGACTAGACAGGAGGAAATTACTCTGAGACCATTGGCCAAGGTCTTCGAAGAGATAAAGATATCCTTGGATAATTCTGGATGTATAAAAAGTTTACTACATTTAACCACCAGCAACATATCCTTAGTGACTAAGGGCTTGATCTTCGAGATGAGATTATATAGATTGTAATCCCACTCTGTGATTTATCGTTTATGTAACTCTGGATAAGTTTCTCTCTCTGTTCCACAAGTTCCTCATTTGTAAAATGAAGGACATAACATTATCTGGCAAAAGTGTGGCTGTGAAGATAAAATTAGAGTCACCTAAGAAGCAATGCCAAAATTATGACTTCTAGTCCATTACTATTATTAATGTAAAGAGAAACTTTAAGAAAATACACTAAAAGTGCTAACGGTAGTTATCTTTAATTGTACAATTACAGGATTTAAAAAATAATTTGTACTTTTGGGATTTTTTTAAAAAATTTCTTCAACGAACATGCTGTTTTGAATTAAGAGGAAAATTTTCTAATTGTCAAATTATTTCCAAGTTAGAAGATTCTTTTGTAGAAGATAAAATACAAATGATCATTCCTAAGAGAAATTTCCTTTAAAATTAACAATTAAATACTCTAATACAATTCACATTAGGCTTTATTTAGTGCCATGTTTTTCTCTATAAAATATCTGATAAAAACCAATATGTTTCACCTATATTTTACCTTAGGGTATAACATGGGGGTAGACTGGGGATATGTAAAACTAGATATGATATTCTCTACTGATTTGTGTAGAATCTGTCATGTTTAGTAATTAATAACTTTACTCAAAATAATTCACCTGTGCTTCTTTTCCCATTGTAATACCTGAATATCACAAATCATCTTCTGAAGATCAATGGTTCAAGTAAGTAGCTTCAATTAAATAAGTGTAACTTTTCCATGTAAAATCAAATATCAGCTGAGTGTGTATTCCTTTCAGCAGAATGTTGAATCATGTCAAGGAGATTCAGCTTCTCATATGTGCATCTTACATTCTTTCTGTTTACTTTCTGTTTTCTTCTCTGTGCCTTTCTGAGACGGACATCCAACCTTCTGTAGTGTTAGCTTTGGAGCCGTTCATTTCAATTTACACACAAAATTTTTCTAACATTTCTAATTTTCTGAATCTTTCTTTTTTACTCTTTTTGCTATTAGATCTCCTGCTCTATCTAGTGTAACCTCCCAGGGTAGTATGACCTTTGTTATAAAACATGCAGGAGATAATCAGACAAATTTTTAGTTTTAATGCTAAGCGTAAGCATTAAAACATTACTGTCCCAATAGAAATCAACTTGTTAGATAATGCATTTATTACAATGATAAAAAGTTTTTCCCAAAAGGACTCTTCCTTAAGGAATACTTCAAGGGATTATAGTGAATGACTGCAAATACATTTACTGGTGTCCAGGCACTTATGCTATTCAGGATGACTATGATGTCTGGCTATATTCAAATGAAACTTGGAGCTTTATGTAATAAATTGAACTGGGGGATACAGTATTGTTTTTGAAAATAAATTAGATTTAACAATCATTATCATTTTAACTAGCATCAAATGAATGCTGCGTGGCAAAAACAGCTCACCGCCACCTACTGTTTATTCTTACTTTTTTCTGCTTCAAGCAAAGCCCCTACATGTTAGATGCATAGCCACTCAGTCTGAGATCACATTCATAGCCTGCATTACATCCAGGGCCAAATGTGACTACACTGTGCCAAAGAAAAGTGAGCAGAAACGATAAATACAACATCTGGTGTATATCTTTAAAAAGGAGTGGGGTTTTTTTGCCTTCCACTTTTCTTTCCCCTTCCGATGGAAGGGGAAAATCTATGGAGTGGTTTCAGAAATGTTGGTGGCCTCCTCCATCAACACAGATGAAGACAACGTCCTAGGGCCTACTTGATTTAAGAGAGAGGAAATGTGGATCCCTGGATCAGAAGACAGAGAAGAGCCACCTGCCCCTCTAGCTACAGACAGCTTGGATTTGCACTTGCGAGAGAGACAACTCTGCTACTTGTGTAAGCCTCACTTAACTTTGGTCTCTGTTGAAACGATCAGAAGACAGAGAAGAGCCACCTGCCCCTCTAGCTACAGACAGCTTGGATTTGCACTTGTGAGAGAGAGAACTCTGCTACTTGTGTAAGCCTCACTTAACTTTGGTCTCTGTTGAAACAAACAATATCGTAATAGTACTACTTAAGAATATAAAAAATTATAACAATGATACTACTACTAACAATAATGATACGTTTGTGTAGAATTTCTAGTTTATAAGATGTTCTTCAATTTTCTCAAAACTCACAAAATCCTGTGAGCTATATATTATTCTATTAATTTCACAGATGGAGACACTAAATCTTAAGAAATTTTGCTTTGTCAAGAGTCACCTCAATGGATGAGTTCAAACATAACACACTTTCAAAGATATAAAAATCTTGTTTTGAAAACAGCCAGTGGTTGCTCATGATAGATTCTTCTGGGTTAATTTTTCTTCTTTGAAAAATGCATTATTCTACTGAGTCCTGGCTCCAATCCTCATTAATTCTGTAACCCCTAGGAAATTGCTTAATATCTGAGGACCTCAATTTCTTCATCTCAGGATGAGGATACTTATATGGAATGTTTGACTCTTCCTGAAAAATAATTTCTCTGAATTTGTGTTTAAAATACTCCCTCCCCCTTTTATTGCTTCCTACTCATGACACAAGCAAAATGGATAGTTATATATTCTTTTGATTATTTTCTTTGTTGGTTATATCACCCAAACTTACCATAAGCTCCTGAAGGCCAATATTCTTGTCATATTTTACCTGTTTCCTCTGAAAAATCTATAAATGTGCTGTCCAGTATGGTAGCCACCAGCTGCATGTGACTTTTGAGCACTTGAAATGTGGTTAGCCCAAACTTGATGTGCTGTAAGTACAAAATACACACTAGATTCAAAGATTTAGCATGAGAGAAATGAGAATTTAAAATATCTCATTAATTTATATTAATTGTGCATGCTATAATATTGCTTATATTGTTTTATAAAATCTACCATTAAAATTAGTTTTACCTGTTTCTTTGTATTTTTTTGTGTGTGTGTGACCGGTAAGGGGATCGTAACCCTTGGCTTGGTGTCGCCCACACCGCGCTCAGCCAGTGAGCGCACCAGCCATCCCTATATAGGATCCGAACCCACGGCCTTGGCGCTCCCAGCGCTGCTGCACTCCCAGCTCCACACTCTCCCGAGTGAGCCTCAGGGTCAGCCCTCTTTGTATTTTTAATACTTTGAATTACGTATGTGGCTCACATGGTATTTCCATTGGACCATGCCATTCCAGTACATTGCTGTGCTATAGAACACAGTGTGTTCAAGGGGCAGATTGGCTAGCCACCCACCAGCCCATGTCATTGTCTTTCTGGGTCCACAGCTCAACCACATTCACCAGTCTCATGACCAGAGGAACACAGGTAGGACTGCTGTATGCTATGTTTAGGCCTGTCTTATAGAAACCTCCCACAGGTTGTCCACCATGTTCTTTACTCTGTCAACAGCCTTGGCTGCAAAACAGTGAAGATGGGGAAACCAAAGGATGTCAAGAGACTAGATGCTTATGTTTCTGTGTGGAGAACAGGTGTCCAA